AAAAACTAACAGATCTAACTGAACTAAAATGAATGAATTAGATTTTATTAGAATTAGAATTAAAAAAGAAAGAATTCGAGCTAATGAAATGGCAATTATAAGTCACAGTAATCGTCATTGACTCTGTTCTGTTTTATATGCGACGCCATTGTAAGTGCCATGTGTTTTCCACAGATTTTTCCAGGAATGGAATCTATCTCGAGCCAGCTGTCCACGGGCACCGATTCCTCCTGTTCTCCAACCTCAAAGCAAGAGCTGCAGCCGTGCACATCTCTGAAGCCCAACCAGGTGAGCGAAACCTCCCTGTACGGGATCCCCATCGTCTCGCTGGTCATCGACGGCCAGGAGCGCCTGTGCCTGGCGCAGATCTCCAACACGCTGCTGAAGAGCTACAGCTACAACGAGATCCACAACCGGCGCGTGGCGCTGGGCATCACGTGCGTCCAGTGCACACCCGTCCAACTGGAGATCCTGCGGCGCGCGGGCGCCATGCCCATCTCGTCGCGCCGCTGCGGCATGATCACGAAGCGCGAGGCCGAACGCCTGTGCAAGTCGTTCCTGGGCGAGCACCACCCGCCCAAGCTGCCCGAGAACTTCGCCTTCGACGTGTCGCACGAGTGCGCGTGGGGCAGCCGCGGTAGCTTTATCCCTGCGCGCTACAACAGCTCGCGCGCCAAGTGCATCAAGTGCTCCTTCTGCAGCATGTACTTTCTCGCCCAACAAGTTCATCTTTCACTCGCACCGCACGCCCGACGCCAAGTACACGCAGCCCGACGCGGCCAACTTTAATTCCTGGCGTCGCCACCTAAAGCTGACGGACAAAAACTCCCCGGACGACATCATGCACGCGTGGGAGGACGTCAAGGCCATGTTTAACGGCGGCAGTCGCAAGAGGACGCTCCCAGTGGGCGCCTCCGATTCCGCGCCCCCGCCCCTCAAAGCGCACGCGCCTGGTAGCCGGACGCACGCGGACCCGCCAGAGGCGCCCCACAAACCCCTGCGCTGCCCGGGCGAGGACGACAGAGTTGGGGTGACAGTGGCCGCCGGTGTCCGCAGTTACCCCGTCATCCCTGTGCCCAGCAAGGGTTTTGGGATGCTGCAGAAGATCCCACCACCTCTCTTTCCGCACCCATATGGCTTCCCTGCCTTCGGCCTGTGCCAGAAGAAGGACAATGGTGCTGTCCTGGCAGAGGAACAGGGCAAGGCCGGCCTGCCCACCACAGTCTTCTGGCCTGGCCCAAAGGACAGCACTTACCCTTCGTTTCCTGTGTTCTGGCCCACCGTGCCGCCTTACCACCACCCGCAGCCCAAGCCGCCTTCCGAACCCCTGTGTGTCCGGCAGAGCGAGCTGGACCCACCTGAGCCAAGTGAACGAAGGGCCAACACCCCAAAGGACGCCCTGCCAGACAGCGAGCGCTGCTCCAGCCGCAGTGAGGAGGACAAGTCCGGAGATGACAGCAGGTCAGGGGAAGGGATGGGAGCCGCCCAGAGGCGAATGAGCTACGTATCAGCATTCCGGCCTGTGGTCAAGGATGCGGAGACTATAGCCAAGCTGTATGGTAACCGTGGCCCATATCTGGGAGCCAGGGCCGGCTACCTGTCGCCTGATTTCCTGAGCGAAAGCTCCAGCTACAGGTCTGTGTCTCCAGATGTGGACAGTGTGGATGACCCAGATGTGGACGTGGAGTCAAACAAAGTTCAAGAAGATGAGGAGTGCCTTCAGCTTTCTGTGGATGACCAGCACAGCCCTCCAGGCCTGACAGCAGTACGCAGCGACGGGGCGAAGGGTCACGTAGAAGAAAATGGCCACATATCCACTATGAGTGACCCACATACGACTGACTCAAGTGAGGCACACTCATGTGAGGTGGAGAAGCAGAGCAAAGCACTGTTGGAGAGCAGTAAAGCCTCAGCACGATTTCAGGTAAGTAGGGCTACTGGGCACCACGGCCTCTAAAACTGAAGAAAAAGCAGCTTCACATGTCTATACCTCCTATTCTTCCTTTTTATTGTATGCCTTCACTGTATGTTGAAAGACCCTCTGTTAAAAGACCCTAGCCTAAGGCCTGTGTTCTTCAAGGCAGTAAAATCAGGTTATATATTGAAACATGACAACTCAAAGAACCATTTGAATGTCTTGCCAAGTTTTCATAGTTCCGCTCTATGGTAGAAATCCTGGTATTTATGGTTCTTTAAGGAACCTTTTAAAAATGGTTCTATATAGCACCAAAGGTGGCTTTTAACTTTATTTTAGTATTATATAGAACTATTTTATAGTGCTATGAGACACACACACACACACACACACGTGTGTGTTTGTGTATTCACTAAAATATATTTATAAACAGTATAAATACAATTAATAATGTGCATATTTACTGTATTTCATTTAACTCATTTAGAAAGAATACACTAGTAAGCAGTAGGTAGCAAACTAAAATTGTACTAAATAAAAATGTCCCAAAGTGTCCACTGCCTCCTGATGACCCAGGCTAGCTCATGAATTCAGTACAGTGAGAGTACAAATGTCTCCTACAGTTTTTTCCAAAGCAAGCTTGTCATTTGCTCGGTTTGATGCTCATTGTGATGGTAATGAAATAAATCTTCGAGAGCTGCAGGATATGAGGAGAGCCGTAATTGCTTATACATTTTACAAATTGGTTCTAATCAGGTCACTTTTGTCCTGAGAGCTCGTGACGGTCGCTCTCTATTTGTAGGTCTCTAATTGGCTCTAAACGCTGGTGATGCAGATATTGGTTTCGCATTGAGGCGTTATTATACGCGGCCCGCTTCGGCAGGCTGGAGAGGCTCGCGAGGGGCGGAGAGACTGAGCATGATTGCGCTTCGTTTTGCAGGTGTACGCGCACGACAGGGATGAGCAGCAGCTGAGCGGCGCGTGCTTCGGGTCAGCGACCTCATATGAGCGCGAGCTACGGGAGGCCAAAGGTAGGACTAAAATCATGTCCACTCTGAGTACAGAGCGCCTGCTTGGGGGCTGCTTTTTAGCCTCGGGTAATGAGAGAATTATCATCAACTCTGAGCGACAGCCTTTATTTTATTACACCATAATGTAATTAGTCTATTTAACTTAGCCAGTTTAGAAAGAATACACGAGTCAACATCCGAACAAACTCATTTCATTCTGTTTGTATGTGTGATCAGTGAAAGACGCGCATGAGGAGGAGCCGTCATCTACAGTAGAGGAGATGGAGCCGAGGGCGCAGGGCAGTGTGGGTGAAACAGGCCTGAGGGACAGCAGCGACGGTACGCGATAAAACAAACCTACATGCACAAATGAGTCCTGAGTGCAAGACTTAGAGAGACAGAAAGAGAGAGAGAGAGAGAGAGAGAGAGAGAGAGAGAGAGAGATGCTGAGTATCTTCTGATTTGAGACTGCATGGTATGTTTTCTATGTGTTCAGATATGGAGGCAATGCACAGGGAATCAGGCCGAGCAGCGCTGAAGGAGAAAGACATAGAGCACATGGCGAAGGGTAAGACACAGCACTAACGCACGAACAGGAGGAATAAGAGGAAAGATAATAACAGTCGCAGGCTTATAACAACAAGAACAATTATAAGTATCAACATAAGTACGCAGTATGAGCAACGATAAAATCACAATAATAATAATAATAATAATAATAATAATAATAATAGTAATGATAACAATAATAATAATAATAACAATAATAATAATGATATTGTTTGTAATGAAAAACAATAGCGATTATTATTATTATTTTATTTTTATTGTCATCAATTTAAGCATTGTTTAATGTGTTTTAAAAGCTCTACAGTTTGCTTGGTTAGTAAGTGTTTCGGCTGCTCCTGTTTTAAATGCTGAATTTGCTACTGATTAATACAATTCAGCAGAATCAGCGTTTAGAGAGAATGCGGTCTACACTGAATGGAGTTACGGCTGACATCCTGAGGCCGATAAAGTCCACTTACATTAAGAGATTTCAGCATTTCTGAAAGTGTTCAGTTTTGTCTTAGTTATTCGCCAAGAAAATGGCGAGAATTTTTATGGCAAAATGTTTCACGGTCAGTTCAAGCAAGGTGGACAGTAAAAAGCTCCTCTGCTGAGCACATCATTTTTACTAAACTACCAGCTAATATGTTTTCCAAACGTCACCACATTTTTACATTAAAACAGAATTCAGTTTAACCGACGCATTTGAGTTTTTGGGTAGTACTGTAATGGAATGTACGGGTAAACAGGCTATTACACATATCCTGTAACATTATACCACATAAATATCAAATAATAAACTAATGTAACCGTTTGTTTTCTACAGAAGAGCTGCAGAAGCAGTTAGTGGAGCAGATGGAGCTCAGAAAGAAGCTGGAGAGAGAGTTTCAGAGTCTGAAAGGTAGTTTGTTTCGGCATTTCCACCGTTTACAGTCAGTCAGCGATCCTTACTTACTAATAAACAGTCGCTTATTTCTCCTATTATTAGTCTTTAATCCATATCCACACTGCACATTCACTCTGATCAGAAAGTGACATTTGGTCAATACTGTTTTGTAATCTGGTTGCTTTTTAGATAATTTCCAAGACCAAATGAAAAGAGAGCTGTCATACCGAGAGGAGATGGTCCAGCAGCTGCAGATTGTTCGAGGTGAGCTCTTCATTTTTCTCCATATTTTACCTTACACATCTTTCACATATAGCAGTGAGATGAAATAATGTGATTTGTCCTCTATCAGTTGTGCAGAAGTAATTTCACTGTATAATAAGCAGTTGAATTTGGATGAATATTCTTTTTCATTCTGTAAATCCAACAGTGAGCCCAATCAAATGATCTATGTTGTGTAAATACATTTCTTCAGTATAAATGCACTTCTTGGACTGATAATAGGGATATTTCAAAAACAATCCCACCCACTGAAACCAAACTGGACACCTAAGAGCATCTCAGTGTAAAATTTCAGTTTCATTTGGACATATTCAAATTTATTGAGCCATACTAAAAAGATATGTAATTTTCAAAGTAATGGACTTGACTAAAATTGGTTGTGTTTTCATTACTGCATATTACAAATAAGAGCAATTCAAATGGGTCATCAAGGGACTTTACTTGGTTGCTAAGTATGATGACTTCAGTATGGTTACAGTGAAGAAAATACATGATGATTATATACTGAAAATCCTCAGAGTTAAAATAACAATATTAAAATATTAAAATTCCCTTAGAAATGCATGACAGGGTTTGTAACATTCTGCAGTATGTACAACATTTGAATGTGTCTAGTTTTACAGTGAGGGACATGTGATCACATACTGCATAAGTCTTAGGTTATGAGCTATTTTGTTGGCTTTTAGTTCGTGTATGAATGTCAGAAGATGACTTGTATGAACCTGAATAAGTGGATCTGGAGGAGATGAGTAGATGAGGTAGGATAATTGGCCTTTCATATCTGAGTCATCCTTTGTCTCTCCTGCTCAGACACATTGTGCAGCGAGTTGGACCATGAAAGAAAGGCTCGTTATGCTATTCAACAGAAGTTAAAAGGTAATCAATGATTCTAGCAAAAGCAAACAGTAATGAAGGCCTAGGCGGGCTGTTTAAGGAGGTGCTCAAATAATGCTGCACTTCAAAGTAGGGACCACGGTAGCAGTAGACTGTAGTGTGCCCTCAGATGAACAGATGGGAGATGTTTAGAGCATTTTGCTTACTCTGCACTGTAACCCTGTTTGTGGCATTCAAAGTTGTTGGCTAAATGTGGTGTGCTTGTGTGTCTGCTGATAGAATTATTACATTACCTTTTGTCTCAAAGTTGCATTTCTTTGTGACCTCTATCTTGCTCTCATGCACATACATGTACCCACACCCACACATACTGACTGCTTCTATTCATAAGCTGTCTGTTTTAAGCGATCCATCCACTTTTTTCCCAGAAGCTCACGACGCACTCCACCATTTCTCGTGCAAAATGCTGACCCCTCGTCATTGCTCCGGGACCTGCACCTTCAAGCCTCCTCTACTACCACCGTGATGCCTTCAGGTCCTCATTCATAACAAGACTGCTCTGGACAGGGACATTGCTACACCAATAAAAATGACGTCCAGCCCTTCATGTATAGACCTGGGATAAGCAAGCGTGTATGGTAGTATGCTAGCTCTCCAACTGTAATTATTATTAAATAAAAAAGGCTTATTGTATGTACTGTATAATTTATATTTAAAAATCACCATTAAAGACATTTGACATGTTCCATTGAAAATATGACCATCTGTTTTAGAAATGACCAATATGCTTGTATTAGGTGGCTTTGTGCAATGCATATATTATGTATTATAATTCATTTCCTGTGATACCCTTTCTGTTGGTGAAATGTTAGGGCACTTGGTTAAGTTAGAGGGTCCAATAATTTATTACTGTATTGTACAGTTTTATTTATTCCATATTGCTCATGAATGTTGTCCTCATCTGTAAACTGTGTAAATTATTGATGTAAAGCACTTTAAATAGGCATCCCGAATGGCGGAAATGTGTATTAAATGAACTCGTTTGAGAGGGCTACATTATCGTGACCTTTCTGATAACAATGATCTACATGTTATTATTATTCACTGTGAGAATTTTCCACTGGAGAGGATGTAGCAGCAACTGTGTGTTACAGCGGGGTGCTCTTTACAACATCCCATGGTACAATTAGACAAATTAAACATTTTTAAGTACTCTGTGTGTTATTAGAGAACAATGCTGCATAGATATTAGAATTTCAATTTGAATGCAAATCTACTATGTGTGAATTGTCCTTCATTAGATTGCATGAACACTTTTTCAGATTATGATAATAAGCATGTCATACTCTGTGGCCCAAATCGTGGAAAAAAAGCCACTAGTACTTTTCAGTGCTCTCATGAGAAACGCTGCCCGTAGGCATGGTCATATCAGTCCACTGTGGTCATATGAATGCACTGAAGTAAAACGTTAAGATTTCAGAGCATTCTGCTGCACAGTATCACACCACTGACTCCCATTATTCCTATTCAGAAGTAAGTAACTTTCATTACTTAAATCTTTTGTATATTTATTAATGTGCCCGTCTTAAAAAAGACTGTTCCTCAGGTGTACCTTAGTAAAGACAACGGTCCTATATAGAACCATGAACACTCCAAGAACCATTTGCATACTTAAACAGTCCTTTGCATGGTGAAATTGTTCTTCAGATTTACGGAGAATGTGTTGTAAATGGTTCTATATGGAGTCTTTGAAAAGGGTTCTTATGTTTTGTAATGACATATGTTTACACAAACAGTGCTGTGCAAAAGTCCTAGACCACACTTCATCATTTAATTTCCAGTCAACGTGGCCGTTAAGTACAAAGTATTCATTGAAGAAAAATGTTTCTAAGGAGTTTAGATCTGACAGTCTACTACGATGTGAAAAAAACAGGAGTGTTTCATGACTGAGCGACAGGAGGAAATTATCTCCATTCTTTCTTCAGATCCACAAGAGTTTCTGTCCATTGTTCCACTATGAGATGCTAACTCACTACTATGGGTCTAAAAGCACATGCAGCTGTCAAGAAGCCATTACTGATAAAAGAAAATAGCAAGTAAATACATTTAAAAAAGGAGAAGAAGGTGCTGGTGTTCTCAGCATAGTGGACTGGCCACCCCAGAGCCCAGACCTCAGCTTTGTTTAATGTGTTTGGGATTACTTGGATCAAGATAAGCAGAAAATGTAACCAACTTCTAAGACTGAACTTCAGCATTGTGGAAAAATTTAACTGCAGATTTCTTTGAAAAGCTGACAGCAAGTCTTCCAAAAAAGAGTAGAAGCTGTAATAAAAGCAAAGGGTAGACACACTAAACACAGAAAAAAAATAGTATTGTATTTAATTGTTGATGCTTTGTCTGATTTTCTGTTAAACATGTTTTCTCCTTTTTTCCTGATGCTGAAAAATGAGCAACTTGTACTGAATCGCCATTTGACTGAAGATTAAATAAATGAAGGACTGTCTCTATCTTTTGCACAGTACTACATGAAATTATCATGTATATTCATAGTGTTTAGAGTCAATGAAGGCCATAAATTCTATACAGTGGCCACGAAAATTATTTGGACACTTTAGCAATTTAAAAAATGATAAACTCTGCAAAGAAATTGCTCAAACGATAACAAACCTTTCCCAAACCTTCCACTAGAGGCTGAGGGGTACATGTTTCTAAAGCACACACAGGTTACAATACTTGGTCTAACTGCGCCACCTAATGGACATATTTAAGAGGCAAGCCAAATCTTTCTGAAGTCAATCGTTAATCCTGTTGGATGCTAAGAATTTACACCAATGAGAAGGCCAACAAATACAAAACAGAACAGTGGAGATGAAAGAAAGGAGTCTAAGCAATACTGTTATCTCAGTTCAGTATAACCAAGTAGGTCACCCATAATAAAAAATTGCATGGCCTACCTGTGAACAAATATAGCTCATTGGTTAGGCAAAGTAATAACTGGAGAATCAACAATTTAGATGGCACAATTTTTAAAGGCAAGTTAATTGCTAGGGAAAAAATATTTATCCATGAGCAGTTATAATCACAATGTTTAACCATAACAATTGTTTGTGGCATAGTCTAAAAAATCTATCTAAATCAAGGTACATGTAAGAAACTGATGGCTGAAATGACCATGAAATGCTGTTATGAGTCTAACATTACTGCAAATGAAGACATCAGTGTACATACCTGGAACTGTCCTTACCAAGGGCAGACTGTCGACCCAGATAATTAACCATATGAGGTTAAAAAAACATGCTGTGATTTAAAAAATGCACCGACCCAGTTACTTGATTTGGTGTCAAGATAAAAGAGTGGTGTTGCTGCCATCTCACACTATCAGATTCGCCAATACTGCTCAATAAGGGTAGCCAGATTGTTTAGCGCTGTGGCTCCCAGACTTCAGAATGCCATCCTTTAGGACCTGACTGCTCTTTCTTCTTCCTACAAAAATGAATCTTAAAACACACCTTTTCCTGAACATTTTCACCTTTCTTCCCCCAGCCTCTTTTCTTTAAATTGTAACTGTAAAGCTTTCTTAAACCTTGAGCATAAGAAAAGCGCTATGTAAACTGAAATAATTATTTTTAACATGATGAATGATTCATAGGCCAAACCACATTCAAAGACCAATGGTCCTTGTCGAAAAGTATCCAAACTCCCCTTCTAAAGAGTGATTTCAGCTACTTTAAGGTGCTCCCATTGTTGACAGTTGCGTTCAACTGTGCACACACAGCCTTTATGATCTTCATAGAAAAGCACTGCAGATAATAAGGGATGCTCTGGAGCAGCCACACATAAGCCTAAGGTCACCATCCCCACTGTCAAGCATCCACTACAGGGCTATAAAGCCCCCCAGCATTGAGCTGTGGAGCAGTGGAACTGCACTCCCCGCAGTGACAGAGCTCCACTGAATACCTTTGAGATGAGTTTGAGTGGTACTTGATGGTTCTTGAAGGGTTCTTTAGTAAAAGCAATGGGCCTCATTCACCAATATCTTGGTAAGTTTTTTCTTAAATTTATTCTTGAGAAAGGTCCTAAGAAAAAGTCTACGTTAGATTCATGATGTGTTCTTACACTGTCGAACTGTCACACCTTTGTGATTTGAGAGTGCGCAGATTCAGTTTTTACCTAAGAACAAATACCAAATAAGAAAACATGGGCGAATGTCAGAATGTTCGTGAAAACTGCCTAAGAGAGTTTTAAGAAGAAATTTCTTCTATTGTTACGATGTCAAGAGAATAGAACAACGCTTTTTGGTGCTATATAGAAGCTATATAAACCCATATACAACACATTCTCCATCAACTGAAGAGCCATTTCATCATGCAAAGAACCATTCAAGCATGACATTTTTCTATATAGAACTCATGGTTTTAAATAGAACCAGTGCCTTTACTAAAGAACGCTTGAAGAACCATCTTTTTTAAGTATGCAGAACTAATCATTCAACATCAGTACCTGGCCTCACTAATGCTCTTGTGTCTGAATGTAATAAAATCCTCACAGCAATGTTCAGCATCCAGAGTAAAGCCTTCCCAGAAGAGTAGACACAAATGTCTAAAAACTATTAGACGTTTGGTGGTTAATACAGCGCAGGGGTGTCAAATTCTGGTCCTAAAGAGCTATCACCCTGCAGAGTTCAGCTCCAAACCAAATCCGGGTAATGAAGGCCTTCAGAGGCATCTGAATACTAGAGTCAGGTAAGTTGGATCCAAACTCCCCAGGGTGATAGACCTCCAGGATTGGGACAGATGCTCCTGAAGGCCTTGATTAACTGGGTCAAGGCCTGAAGGTCAACAGAACCAGATTTGAGCACCTCTGATAAGTAGTAATGTAACATAAAACCCTGCTCTAATTGTTTTGTACACCTTCCTTATTCCTAAAATAAATACAGATGTGGTATAATGGCTCATAATGGGGTAAGAATTTCTCTCTGAGATCAACAGGTTAAAGTTTCACATCAAAAAACAGAACCTGGTAGAGCAGGAGGTGTTCACAGCTACATCACTGGAGTTGACCTAAACTGGATGGTTTGGGTTTGAGTATACGTCCTTTGACCACCTACAGCAGAGGTGTTCAATTCTGGTCTATTTTGCTGATTTCCCTGCTCAGGGAAATAACTAAATTAAATACTTCTGGCTAAAGCAATGATCTTACCCCACCTGCTCCTACAGTGTAGTTGCATGGTATTCCTGTCGCCCCTTCCTTCTATTCTAAACAAGCAACCATATCACTGTGTAAAAACAAATGAGGTCTGATCTCTGGCATGTGCTACATTGTTTCAAGACTTATGTAAATTACTGATGTCATACACTTTAATTAGAAAACAAAAATATGAAAATGTGTATTAAATGGTTTAATTTGAGAGAGCTACAATATCATGACCTATCTGATAGCAATCATCTGTATGAACTGTTGTGTTATTATTCACTGTGGGAATTTTCCATTGGTGTGAATGCAGCAGTAATGTGTGTTACACTGTGCTGTTTCCAGTGTTCCATGATACAAATAGACAAATTACGAATTGAAAATTTAAGTTTTAGGTCATTTTTAGGCAATAGTCGGGATGCTTTTGGTCACCAAAACAGCTTCTGTCCCCATGATGAGTAATATAAAATCATGTGTAGAAGTAAGTGCACCCCATGTCTTAAATAGTGGTGATAGATATATAATTTAAAAAGTGACACCTAAAAACAAAATTTTGTCATTTGTTAAATCATTGAAATAAACAGTAATGCATTTTTTGTGGAAAAAGTTAATTGACCCCTATATATAACACTCCTTTAAATGTGTTAAAGTGAAATCAGGTGCACCCGATCATGTGCTAATGATTATAACACTGTTAAATATATCTTGGAGGAACTTGTCTTACCGCAACAGATCACACATCTAGTCTGGTTTGCTCTTTGATATTGGAGTGTGTGGTCTCATCATGCCTTGATCAAGAGAGCTCTCTGGGCCCTTCAGGAAAAAGTTGTAGGTGAGCCTATGAGTCTGAGAAGAGGTTTATATATTGGAAATCAAACATTCCACTCTTCAGAAGAGCCAACTTGTCCAGGCCAAGATCTCCAGGCAGCTCTTGCCTCTGGTGATGTAAAAGTGCATTAGAAAATGCCCTGCATGTAAAGCTATTTTTTTAATTTGCAACTTCCCAGAGACATTTGCATCTACAACTTTCTTTCTGAAGGCCTCAGAGAACTCTCTTGATTGAGGCATGATGATGACACATTTGTGCCAGGACGAAGTCTTTGCTGTCTAAAAAGAACATGGGGCAAGACCAAAATTTGTTCATAATTTGTTCTATGAATATCTAGGCAAGGACCAGGACTTCTGGAACAGTGTGCTATTGACAGAAGAGCCAAAGACAGAGTTGCTTGACCACAGTACCAGAAGTTTAGTGAAAACAATAACAGCATTTCATCTGAAGACCCTACACCAGCTGTTTGTTTGGCGCTGCTTTGCTGCCTCAGTGCCCCGCCAACTCGCACTCACAGAACTGACTATGAATTTTCTTTCTTACCAGATAGTGCTTTTTGAGAATGTGAAAACAACTGTAAGAAAGTTGAAGCTAAAGAAGTGGAAGCTAAAGAAGTGGACCTTCCAACAGGATAATGATCCCAAACATACAAGTAAATCCACTAAGGAATGGCTTAAAAGCCAGAAGGTTTATGGAATTGCCTAGTCAAAGGCCAGACCTGAATCCCACTGAAATGTTGTAGGATGATTTGCAAAGGGCTGTACAGGCAAGAAACCCCTCAAACATTGCACTGTTGACAGAATTCTGCATGGAGGAATGGGCAAAACATAGATAGATGCATAGATGTCAGACACTGGTAGACAGTAAGAGGAAATGCCTACATAAAGTTATTTCTGCCATAGGGGGCAGTACCAGCTACTGAAGCGAGCGGTGCACCTACTTTTTCAATCTCGGTTACATTTTAAAATAATTGACAGCAAAGTCAAATGTCCATTGTCTTTGTATTCTATTACATAACATTTATCTATATATACTGTTTAACTTAAATTCCAATACAAATATGCCCACATATGTCAAAAGCGAGAAACATTTCATGGAGTGTTCTTCACATGACTGTATCTACAGGGGCAGTAAAACAACTAGACCCTATCATGTTATATGTAACGGAATAGGCGATGTAATGTAATACAACTGTCTAAATGTACTTTCACCCAGTTATTTTATTTAGAAGTTGTTCCCATTCATTATTATGGACAGATCTTAGCGGCATAAGCTGAGCTTTCGTTAACTTAAGTCTGATATTTAGATTTTCTTGCTCATTTAATGTAATGTCATGCAATGATGCAACTATTATGCCATTAGTCCAGAATGGATGTGCAGACATATATACTGGCAATCATACATATTTACTTAAGAACAACACAACTGTTCTGTCCTTACCATTGGTGTTTTCTCCTGTCTTGCTTACCTCCTTGTGAACTGATCTCTGAAGTAACATACACTTTTCCTCTTTGACACAGTCCCCTGTCTCTCACTCTCAGTTTCCTGATTAACACAGACAATTCGGAATGATCAGAAAAAGAACTGATAAACTAAAAGAACCTCTGTGAATGAAAGAGAACATTCTAGCACAGTAGGGTTTGGGAAGAACATTCTCTCAACGATCACACAGGTACAGCACATCAAGCTAAACATTTGGCTTTATGGTGTTATCTGGGTTGATGTATTCTGTGGCCAAATGTAAATAGCTTACATTTATCCCTTAAGCATTGGACCTAGGATAAATACATAAGATGTTTATGCCAATAGCCACTCTGCTTTACAGGCATGAATGCACTACAATTTCACTCAATCCCTTTATAAGTTACTTTATTATGTTAATGTAACACCAAACATACATATTCTGCTGCATTTACAATTTGAGGCGTTGATATACTAAAAATGCAGGCTATAATATTAGCAATACTTTTTTTTTAAAACATAGAAGTTCACTTCAGGATACCAAAAAATAACTCACCCTATGTTTCTGTGCCTTAGATTAACTTATGGTGAGCTATCATGCACGTTAACATTTTATTTTCTTCAGTTAGCTAGCTTTTAGATAGCTAATATGAATAGAATACCAGATATACAAAAAAAACAGCTCTGAAATAGCACAAAAGTAGCTGGAAATGAAAGACTGAGCAACAGTGCTAAAACTAGTTAACTAACATTACCAAAACAAGTTTACCAGGTAAGGTTATCAGGTAGCCCAGCGCCCAGCAACACTGCACAAGTGAGCATAACTTAAATGTGGCAAATGACTGCATAGGTAAGCTAGATTGCCTGTTAGCTAATGAACACGAGTTTTGCACAAATACTTATGTTTCTTCTTCACAATGAATGAACATCCCATAAGGAGGTCAAGTTCTGGACAGGCTCTGTTAAAAAGCCTGTTGTAGCCTTTGTCTTTACTTAATTTGAGGTTTTTTCCTTTCATTTAGTCGTGACCCCTACTGCACTATGATAAAGGGGAACTCCACCAACTTTTTATAAATGTTTGCATAATTAAATGGTTAAGATGTAAACAAAGCCATTCAGAGTAGTTTGGTGTGAAATACCTCCGTTCTACAGAAACTTACTGAGTAACGATTATTCACAGTGCTGATAGGGACCAGACGTCCATCTCTACAAGCTTCCACACAGAATGTTATTACATGTAATGGTTATGAATAATATGAATGTAATACTATTGACTATGAATAATATGAATGAGTATGAATGCTGAGCCTGATACCTGAAGCACTGTTTAATTACAGGTTTGAGATTTTGGTTCTAAAACATAATTTTTAAATCCATTCATGTTGGAGGGGTACATGCAGGGCATTGTGAGGCAACATAGCCCCCAAAGAAAACATTTTTTTCCAGATATTCCACTATTTTACCTTCAAACACATGTAGGTTCACCTGTGGTTTTGGATAGTAAATAAAAAGGCTACGTTGGGCCTCATTCATCAACCATTCTTATGAATATATTCTTAAAACACACAAGAACAGAATCTACACACATTCAAAAGCACAAAGGTTTGCAAAATTCTTAGGTTACAGAACACTTAATGTATCTGACACAGACTAGGACCTTTGTCAAGAACAAATGAAAGAAAAAACTTGATAGTGGTGTATGAGTTCCATTGTCTTTTACACATAGTTTCTATCACCGCCACTGTAAAGAAATTTGAGTCTCTACAATGATTCATGTCTGCAATTGAATTAAACGGGATTTTTTTTTAATTGGTGGAATTGCCCATTAAACGGGGTATGAACTGTAAGTAATCCCAAGTCTGGTTAAGTGTCGTGATTGAACAGGCCTGTCTGAGTCTTATCCCGGTGGACTTTATCAAAAATGTAGGCGCTAATTTTGAATGTGCGTGAGAATCGTTAGCAGAGAACTGCGTCCCGCTCACGTGCCGAGAGTCCAGCACGCCTGCGCCACACTAACAAGATGGCGGAGAGTGCGGAATTGAAGGTAAAGCGTAGCCACAAAATTACTATTGATATCTAACTCAAAACGTTCTTGGTTCATTTGTGCGGCACGTGGTGTGTGGTGTTCAAACGGAGCGACGGCCCCGGTGTGCCTTAAGCGGGACAGCTGCGTTACCAGCTTTGCCCCAGGATGGAGGAGCATTGTTATTGTTGTGATGTTGAGACTTGGTGGAGTCAGCTGGAGTAGCTGGCTGTAGCTAACGAGCTTAGCTAACGTAGCTGGGTAGTAGCTTCCTCCTCACTTTTAAATTAGATTTGTCGAAACATGTGGACCCTAAATCTCAGTTGAGACGGTAGTGTACATTTCGTACAAGGTGTATGTTTGTTACGGCCCGGTTTTGTCGCTTAAATTCACACATAAGGCACGATATCTGTCGTAGCAGCAGATCGCTAGCTGGATTTCTGTTTTTGCTTGCTAGCTGAGGTTAGCTGTCCGCCGCCGTGCTGCGTAGGCTGCCAGCCGGCTAGCTCGCTTTGCTTTGCATAAAGCTTGACAGGCTGGGTTACAGCTAGCCTGTGAGCTAACCTTGAAGTCGATCAAAGCCAGACAGATCTAAAGATGATGGTCGTTTGTCTTGTTTTTGAGACGTACTGAGTCTGGCTTCTACAGAGCGTTTGTGGGCGCATATTAAACTGCAGTGGTCTGGTCAGAAATGAGGGCTAAACCTCCGCTGCCATAATCGAGTTGCTGGTGTAGTTAGTTAGCTAACGTTAGCCACCTTAGCTAGCTGGCTAGCTTTCTTGGCAGCAGACAGATATGTGAATGCAGAGAAAGCAAATACCAACATAGCTGATGTTTTAAAAAAAACTCAATTTTTACTCATCAAGTCTCTGTCTGGAATTATGAAGTTAAAGCTTTTGCGTCAACGCAAGGCATGAGCTAACGTTAAGTTACCGGGAGAGGCGCAATCAGCTGTTGTGGCTCTGACCCAAAGATTTCGCCTCTGACATTTATTTTGTATTTTGAATGAGAAGTAGTTAATGAATGTTGCCCGGTGTGGGGCGCGTAAATGCTTGGTTCATGTTGTGCTTGATCAGCGACAAGAAAATATTTACTGTCAGGGCACATATTTAGGTAACGTAAGCGTTTGAGCCTGTGTGTGAAACATGTTAGCTGATGTTGGTGTACATATTAAATGTCACTGTTCAGTCACCGTCTAGCTCTAGATTCTGTACAGAGTTGTGTTCATCACCGGTTGTGTCCACAGCGATGTCCAGTGGACTGGGTTTAGCCAATACTGTAGTAGGTAACCTAAAGGCACCAAGTTTCACAGAGAGGGATTTCTGTACTTGAACACATCAGAACGCAGCAGTGAAGTCCAGACACCGAGCTGGTTTACTCGCTTTTAGTTCGAAATGGAAATGTAGACATATTTAGTTTTGAAATGAATTTGAAAGTGCTGCGAGAAGCTGGTGTCGCTGAATGACTAAGTAACCCGAAGTAAAGCATTTAGGTTATACACCTAAAGCACTGCAGTTTGATTTGCTTGAGGTGTTGATTGAGTGTTACCTTTACCGTGTTTATCTCTGGCATATGGAAGCTCATTTCCGCCAAGTAGAGGAGAAAAAAAAAATGTTTTTTTTTTTATTATTATTATTTATTTGTTTGTTTTTTTTTGCTTTTGTCTCCCCTGTTTCTGGCAGCAGTATGTCAATGTATTGACTTGGTGTCTCGAAATAATGACTTACTTATTGGAAATATTGACTTTTATCTCAAAGTAATGACTTTCTTGAGATTTTCAGATACTGTTTTGAAATAATGAAATAAGTGAGTAATTATTGGGGATAATGTTTCATAGTCATTATTTCGACATAGTCAATATTTTAATAATTTTATAATAATTATTTTGATATTTTAGGTCAATATTTAGAGGTACTGTGTCAATATTTTGACATTCTGCTGCCAGAAACAGAAAAGGCTTACCAAAATAGCTCACAGGCCATTATTTTTCCCCCTCCTCTACCTGACAGGAATGGGCTTACATACTTTGGTTTGTTTTTTGGTTTAATTCCCCACCAGCACACCCTCTCACCTTAAAGCTGAGAACATGTAACATTTTTTGTTTTTCTGATCAGAAGCTTTTTAGGATAATTTTGTTTTTGGTAATGTTTGGTAGTTCTTATTGTGGATTTAAAAAGTCAAGCTTTTAACAGCCTGTACATCATTTCTACTAAAATGGCTAAAGCCTAACATGTTTAGTTAGCCCATTTGCTGCTGTTACTGTTGCTTGTTTTTGCTATTAGGCAAAGCTGTATTAAATGGTATTTTTTATGTTTGCAACTGATGTAACTGCAGCTTCAAAATTAAAATTCACATTTTGCAACACTGCAACAACACTGCAGCATGGCTTTATCTGTTTACCAGTGTTGTTAATGAATTTCCTACTGTTTTAATGAATTCTAAACCTGCAATTACATGTAACTGTAAAAAAATGCAATATAGGTGAACTTTGTAGTGACGTATAGCCTTTTTTGTTACGAAAATAAATAATTTAGATTAAGGCTGCAACAACTACTTACATCATGGATGACGTTGACAGTAACTGGTGAAAACAAATCGTGTTGTCGAGTAGTTGGCTAGATTACAATTGCGCTTCCCATTTACATTTTCTTTGCGTGATTGAAACTGGGAAATTACAGATGGCAGAAACTACAGTACAGGGGTGTGTACGACACAGCAAGTCAGCAACATTACTTTAAGGTCTTTTAAAAGACGATTTTCTGTCAGATGTGTAAAACCTTAACTGGCATGACCGTCATGTGTGAGGATCTTCGAAAAATTATCCTGCGTCCACGACAGCAAATTACAAAAGCCCAACATGAGTAACTGCTAAAACTGAAAAAATCTGTGTTCATAATTTAAATAAACTGTGATAATTTAAAAAAAAAATGTTTGCGTTTTGGTCTCCAACCTATGTAAAAAATTATGTTTTAGGTCACTCTACAGGGTGGAGATTTTTAAAACACTAAAAACTTTTTTTTCTGTGGTTTCATGTGGACGGATGTTTTTGAAAACGCTGACATCATGCACGTGGTTATTGCTATTTCACAAGTGGTGAGAATGCTTTAGGACACTGCACGTCTTACATGGCTGTTCGTGTGTGCTCAGTAATATCAGGTTTGATTATTTTATCTGAAAGAGTCAGCCTACCTCTGTAAAATTACTAAGTTTTGTGGGTTTTCTTTTTTGTTTGTTTGTTTGTTTCTGTATTTTTCACACTGACTAAAATTCACGAGCAGTGTAGAAGATCCCTTGTTAAAAGAATTTTTTTTTTGACACCTCTGATTTAGATAGAGTACGTGTTTTGCGTTTGAAAGAGTGTTGTGCAAAAGGAAGAGAAATCCTTGTCTTTTCATGTTATTGAATGAAACATGCTTCTTTTCTTGGTTAGTCAAAGTCGTAATGGACTGATTAATTCATTATGGAAAGTTGTTACCTGCAGCTCCAGTGTAGATTAATCAATAAAGTAATCAATAGATTATGTCTATAGTATAGTCCATTTTAAAAAATACTATCAAAAACGTAACGTAACTGCCCTGCACTGAATCCAATTAAACAGGACTCTTTATGCTCTCTTTGTAATGAAATATGCAGTTGTTCAGTGGTTTTTTAAGTACTGACAACATCCACAATATGCTCAGAAACAGGTAATGTTACATAATGTGCCATATGTTATAACAACAATAATAAATACCATCACATTGCCCACTGTACCTCTTGTCTTCATATCTGGTGTGCTGTTTGTTTGAAAAGAATAGAAATGCCACCACAAATGAGTACGCATGCGCAAATATGTGTGCAAAATAAAAATAGGAAAAATATGATTGTCATTTATAGTTCCAATATCATTGGAACATAAATATTAAAATTTTCTTGTTTATCTGCAAATAATATATTGGCTGCCAACACATCATGCGCCCTAAAATCCTGATCATCAGGTAACCTAATGTGCTCTCATATTGCCTAGTGTAAAGTCAAGACTGAATGCAATGGAGTGCAGTACAAGATGTTCACAATTCGTAGCATCCTTATTTATATATCATTGCAAGTTTTATACTATTGTACAATAATGTCTTGTGTCTTGTAGTGTAGTGATACAGTGTGTGTGATGACAATGAACTAGAGCTGGTACTGAAATTATAAACTGCAGTTCTGATTTTGGTGTTAAAAATGCTGCTGATCACTATGGCGGGGAATTCAGCCCCGTCCTATAGGGCTGGTGTCCAGCAAAGTTTGGTGAATTTCCCTGTTTAAACACACCTAGTAAACCTGACAATTAACACATGAGTTGACTCAGGTGTATTTGAGCAGGAAAACCACCATCTGTGTTGGACACTGACCCTCCAGGACTGGAACTAAATAACCCTGCTCTGTGCAATAGTGGCATTGTGCATTCTATATGCAATAATACCCACCAAGAAAAACTATTTGCAAATCTGGCAATGTTCAACAGATACTGGACAAGATGTTTTCAGCTTTCAGTGAATAATTGTCAATGTTCAGTTTCCCTAATTGCGTTTAGGTCACTATTGAGCATGTCAGACATTTTTTCTGAATCTCCCACAGTGCACTTGTAATTTTTAGTGAACACCGTTGATCACTACATCAGCTGCGAGCCTCCTGTTACTACACAATGGAAAGAGGAATGTCATGCTAACAGTGGCAGCTGAGCTGTGACTTTCTTGATAGTGACTTTCTCAATTATCTTGACAAACTGAAGACGGCAGTGCTGCTCATCGTTCAGCAAAAGCACTGAATGGTGAACCAAGAAGTAACTGTGTACTGTAGGTTGTTTTTAGTGTTGTGATTTGTAATAAAGTTTTTAGCTTGTTCCATGTCCCCTGTACTTTTCAGAGTGTGGTGCCCATGTCTGCGGCTACAAAAAATACTAATACTAATGTTGTGTTACAACATAGTGAACTATGCTGAAACAGGTCGCTTGAGAAAGGTACTGTAAGAGGATGTCAGTCTGTCAGCGTAAA